TACTCCTGCTAATACATCCCAGAATGATGTTTGCTTTTTTTGTCAACAGCGTTACACTGTTGACTCATATTTAGCTTGTGATCCACTCTGAGCCCCAGATCCCTTTCTGCAGTACTCCTTCCTAGGCAGTCATTTCCCATTTTCTATGTGTGCAACTGATTGTTCCTTCCGAAGTGGAGTGCTTTGCATTTGTCCTTTTGAATTTCATCCTATTTACTTCAAACCATTTCTCCAGTTTGCCCAGATCATTTTGAATTTTAATCCTATCCTACAAAGCACTTGCAACCCCTCCCAGCGTGGTACCATCCACAAACTTTATAAGTGTACTCTCTATGACATTATCTAAATCACTGATGAAGATATTAAACAGAATCAGACCCAGAATCAATGTGGGACCCCACTCGTTATGCCCTTCCAGCATGACTGTGAACCACTGATAACTACTCTCTGGGAACAATTTTCTAACCAGTTATGCACCTACTTTATAGTAGCTCCATCTAGGTTGCATTTCCCTAGTTTGTTTATGAGAAGGTCATGCGAGACAGTATCAAAAGCCTTACTAAAGTCAAGATATACCACATCTACCACTTACCCCCATCCACAAGGCCTGTTTACCCTGTCAAAGAAAGCTATCAGGTTGGTTTGACACCAACACTAACATATTTATAAATATTCTGGAAAAAGGAGTAAACAGTGAGATGGCAAAGTTTGCAGATGATACACAATTACTGGTTTGGACAACAAAGTTATATCCAAAGCTGACTGCAAATAGTACAAAGGGATCTCACAAGACTGGGTGACAAAATGGCAGGTGAAATTCAATGTTGATAAATGCAAAGTAATGCACATTGGAAAACATAATCCCAACTATATATATAAAATGATGGGGTCTAAATGAGCTCTTATCATTCAAGAAAGCTCTTGGAAGTCACTGTGGATAGTTCCCTGAAAACATCCACTCAATGTGCAGCGGCACTCAAAAAATCTAGTAATATTAGGAACCATTAGGAAAGGGATAGATACTAAGGCAGAAAACATCAAAATGCCACTATATAAATCCATGGTATGCCCACATCTTGAATACTGAATGCAGTTCTGGTCACCCCATATCATAAAAGATATTAGAATCGGAAAGGGTGCAGAGAAGGAATACAAAAATTATTAAGGTTATGAAACAGCTTCCATATGAGGAGAGATTAAAAAGATTGGGATTATTCATTTTAGAAGAAAGGATGACTGGGGAGGGGATGAATGATAGATGTCTATACAATCACAAATGTTGTGGAGAAAGTGAATAAGGAAGTATTATTTTCCCTTTTCATAACACAAGAACTAAAAGATCACCCAATGAAATTAATAAGCAGTAAATATAAGGAAGTACTACTTCACACAACGCAGTCGACCTGTGGATCTCATTGCCAGAGGATGTTACGAAGGCCATAAGTATAACTGGGTTCAAAAAGAATTAGACAAGTTCATGGAGGATAGGTCCAGCAATGGCTATTAGTCAAGATGGTCAAGAATGCAACCCTGCACTCTGGCTGTCCTTAAACCTCTGATGGCTGGAAGCTGGGACTAGATGATAGGGGATAGGTCACTCGATAATTGCCCTGTTCTGTTCATTCTCCTTGAAGCATCTGGTACTGGCCATGGTCGGAAGACCGGATACTGGGTTAGATGGTCTGGTCTGACCCACTAAGGCCATTCTTATGGTGTAAGTGATCCTCTCCAAAAAAGAAAAGGCTTGAAGAACACAATGCTCATAGGGAGTACAAATGCCCATGAGCTACAAAGGGTTTGTTTCTGAACTTTTATCCTGCCATTTTCAGCAATCAGTAAAGGGCATTTCTCTGATTCAGAGAGGCTTTTTGCTTCCCTTGACCAGATGCACTTCATAAAATCAGTCCCCTGGAAGCCAGAAGCATATTCAGAATTAACTTCACAGTGTAGAAAAGGCCATGAAACTTTTGACCATTTTTAGGTCATTAAAATGTTCTGGGAAAATATGTATCTGTCCATTTGCCAATCCCGAAGGAGTCCACCAAGGGGAGGAAAAAAATCCTCAATTATCACACGTTAACTCCTCACATAAAGTGTAGAGTCTAATTGTGGACAGCCAAGTACCAGTCGACCAATTCACAGACCAAGTAGTGTTTGGATAAGAAAGAAATGACCTTGAAGCAAAAGCTATTGGTAGAAATCCAAAAACAGTTTTTTTACAGCCTCCTCAGTTTAGACTGCATTCAACAATCTACACCTTAAAGCCAGAGGTAGTGTCATTCAGGAAAGTTCCTGTAAGTTTACCTATATTGCCTTTAGGCCTGACCTGTCAGAAAAGAGAAGGAGAAACCTGAAAAGCAGCAATGCTGAAAGAGACTTGGGGGCAACAATGAACAGTAATTATATAGGAGTTTGCAATTCAACGTGGCAGAAAAAAAATCAATGTAATTTTGGACAACAGACACAGGGACATCACATCACAAAGCAGGGGGTGTATGGCCCTAAGGTGACTGCACTTGGAGTAAAGCATTCAATTCCAGATCTTTGATCACCAGATACGTTGGAGAGAGATTAAGAGAAACTTACTTATGAGACCATATATACAAGGGAAGCTACCTCTCTTTCTAACTGCACTTAGGTGTAAAAAAAAAAGATGAAGGACATGGAGGATGTTACCCCAAAAATTTCCCTGTACAATGGTTTGACAGGATAAACAGAGACCTAGCCTAGTTTGCACACCCTCACCAAAAGAGGAGCACTTCTTTGTTTTCTCTCAGCATTCTTCAATTTGATGATCTTAAAGGACCCAGCCCCCTGCTGGTGTTACAATCATGGTATTACTAATAAAAACCTCTTGAAAGAAGGCTTAACTATACAGAGGGGAAAACTAGAGTAGGGAAAGTGCTGGAAGCAAGGAAACCAGCCTTACTGGTCCTTGGCTGTTCCAAAATTTACCCTCCTAAGATTATGTGGGCCTAGCACACACAAGTAATTCATGTGCCACATACGAAGTAATTCACATGTGTGCCAAATATAATTGGACTAGACTTGCTTTCAGTAGGGCTAAACAACAGTTCAGCCTGAATCATTTCACTCTGCACTAGCTTAGTGTCATCATGGTCTCAGCTACCATAGTTAAGAGAGTCTTATTCTTACTGTCCTACAGTACATCAGTGGCCTTTCAAAAATCCCGCAGAATCTCCTCTATCTAGGATCTACATTAGCATCATGGGATAGGTAACCAAAACTGAACTGAGAGGATTAAAACGCACATCAACATAGCTAGAAAAGACACACTTAACAGTATGTGCTTAAACTAGTGCAATCACACTGCTTCAGTTAAGGACAGTTCAATTCTCCAGATGACACATAATTTGTGAGATGTAGAGGATAGCTAAGAATGTTGCAGGATCCCTGATGCAACCAGTCTTGCTGGTCAAACACTCTGCAGTTTCTTTAGTCACTATACCTCTTCAAGCACCATGTACTCAAAAAGTCATTGAAGATTGACTTGATCTATGCAGAGAAATTAACAAGGTTAGTCAAGATTTTAATCTGACCTTATTAAGAAAACCAGGCTAAATCACTACATGCTTGGGCATATGATGCACAAAACTGATGCTAGGCAACATAATTGTAATACTTTGCTAGATGCTTGATAAAACAGGAAAAAATGCCCAATTAACAAAATCTAACATCTACCTAAATATATATAATATTTACATTTTAAGTAGCTATTGATCAAAGAATTTACAATGAACTATAGAGCAAATGTAGCCACACTTTACACTAGGCCCAAATGATTTTACCTTTCCATAATTACCAGGCTACTCACCTGAACTGCAGGATTTTCTGTAGCATCCGACTGCTCCTTCTTGACTTTCCAAGCCTTTTCTGTGCAAATTGACTGTGATATAGTTGATTCAACCCATTCAACTGAAGAATCCTAAGAATAAGTGTTTGAGTAATTTAGAAAAATTCAAAAGCACTGAATTTTACAGAATGACCAAACCTTAAGCACTGTTATAAACTGAGGACACACTATTACTAAGAACATTTTACAAAGAAAATGCCATTTGATGTGATCTCATCAAAATAGCATGTTAGTCTCTCCCTATCCCACATCAACAGTTTATTAATATTGTATTGTCATGAAAAGAAAACACAATCGCCATTTGCCAGAAAGTTTAAACTGTCCTGCTGATACTTTGAAACAAACAAAAAATACGTACAAGTAAAACTTCTAAATTAGTGACAAAATAAAAAAAGAAATGTTTTATTAAGCTTTACTGGTGCAACATTTGCGTTTAAATTAAAAATGTAATAATTTATATAATCTCTTCACATTTTAATTGTATCTCATTCCCACCCAACATATATATATGCATCTCTCTCTAAGAGGAAGAGAAGTTTTCTGGAGTGCTGCAATTTTATACTCGTAACAAACCGCTCTCTGCTGATCAGACATTCCCTGTTATTTATAGGAACCTGACATGAGAACAAAAGATTTTGTATCAAAGGTATCAGGGTCAGAAGGGTGCTGCATCTTGATGACTCTCTGATGTAATTTGCAGCTTTGGGTGCTTCCCACAGGAAACATGGGACCAATCTGTGGTTTTGGTTATTTTCCACAGGTTAGCAAGTCAAAAACACAGTTCACTTAGCTGTATGTTCCTGCAGAAAAACCTTGTCCTATTGAACCTTCCTATGCATCAGGAAGAAAGGGTAATCTTCAAGAAAACAATAAAGCTACCGTGCTTGCACACAAATGCTACATTTAAAACTGGGGACTTCAAAACACATAGCAAATACTCAGAAAATCCAATCAGAACAAAAAGAACAGGAGTACTTGTGGCACCTTAGAGACTAACAAATTTATTGTAGCATAAGCTTTCATGGGCTACAGCTAAAGCTTATGCTACAATAAATTTGTTAGTCTCTAAGGCTAGGTCTACACTACTGGGGGGGGGGGGGGTTTGACCTAAGATACGCAACTTCAGCTACGTGAATAGCTTGGCTGAAGTTGCGTATTTTAGGTCGACTTACCGGGCTGTGAGGACAGTGGAGAGTCGACCGCTGCCACTCTGCCGTCGACTCCGCTTCCGCCTTTTGCCGCGGTGAATTTCCGGAGTCGACTGCAGAGCGATCAGGGATCGATTTTATCGCGTCTTCACTAGACGTGATAAGTCGATCCCCAATAGATCAATTGCTACCCGCCGATCCGGCGGGTAGTGAAGACGTGCCCTAAGGTGCCACAAGTACTCCTGTTCTTTTTGTGGATACAGACTAACACGGCTACTACTCTGAACCAATCAGAACAGAATTTCCTGCTGGCCTGTTTACTCCACTTGATAAAAAATGAAAAACAAGAGGGCCAGGAAGCAGTGCCATGATTTCCAAGCAAGTCTGTGACTGCTAAAAATAAAATGGGAGCCCACTGGCCTCTAACTGGAAGAGAGAGCATTACAGGAGTATTAAAGAAACTGAAAAAAAATTAATAAAATACCAGCAAGATATCATGTAGCACTGTCTTTAGGAAAAGGAAAATATGCCTCAATATTAGTGGCAACTTCTTTCCAAAAAGGCAGGTTAAAAGTGATTTGTTTGTTTTTAAACATTCTTTCAAGATAATATTTTAAGTTTATTACTTACTGAAGAGCTATCACTTGAATCATCATTTTTTTCAAATTTTTGGTTTTTACTTTTCTTCTTTTCTTTCTTAAGTTTTCTTGAGTGTTTATCTTTTTTCTTCTTTTTCTTCACAGAATGTTCCTATATAAGCAAACATTTATAAATGATATGAAAACAAATCTCATAGAAAAAAAAAGATAGACCATTAATCAAATTACATAGAAAAAAAATCTAGCTAATTCTAAACCATCAAAACTGTAACTGCATGTTCTTATTACTATTTCGATCGTCCTCCATCAACCATTCCTTCTGACTGTTTCTTAGCACTTGTCTACACAGGATTTATTTAATATATTTTTCCGCTACATTGAAAAAGTACATCTATACACTTTGTTTATTATGGCTTAAGCTATTTCTCTTAAGAACGTAAGAATGGCCGTACTGGATCAGACCAAAGGTCCATCCAGCCCAGTATCCTGTCTACTGACAGTGGCCAAAGCCAGATGCCCCAGAGGGAGTGAACCTAACAGGTAATGATCAAGTCATCTCTCTCCTGCCATCCATCTCCACCCTCTTGAGAAACAGAGGCTAGGGACACCATTCCTTACCCATCCTGGCTAATAGCCATTAATGGACTTAACCACCATGAATTTATTTATTTCTCTTTTAAACCCTGTTATAGTCCTAGCTTTCACAACCTCCTCAGACAAGGAGTTCAAGTTGATTGTGTGAAGTAGAACTTCCTTTTATTTAGTTTTAAACCTGCTGCCATTAATTTCATTTGGTGGCCCCTAGTTCTTATATTATGGGAACAAGTAAATAACTATTCCTTATTCACTTTCTCCATATCACTCATGATTTTATATACCTCTACCATATCCCGCCTTAGTCTCCTCTTTTCCAAGCTGAAAAGTCCTAGCTTCTTTAATCTTTCCTCCTATGGGACCCGTTCTAAACCCCTAATCATTTTAGTTGCCCTTCTCTGAACCTTTTCTAATGCCAGTATATCTTTTTTGAGATGAGGAGACCACATCTGTACGCAGTATTC